AATGCTACCAGCAAACCAGTTTCAGGAAATGGGTTCAAAGCAACACAACAGATGATTGCATTTATCATCCCCAAATGTGCACAGACAGCATATTAACTATCTTGCTTTTGGGCCTTGCAGTGGATAGAACATCTATAACATGGCCACTTATAGTAAAATCAAAGTTCTATTTTATTCTTCTGCAATCTGACTTATAAATGACCCAACCTATACCTCCAGAATGTATTGGGCAAGTATTACACAACCATGTTAAGTATTGCTCAGTCAAGCAAGGTGAGGTCAACCCTCATTACTTTTTAATATGTCTTCTCTTAAGTTGGCTGCAATCAGAGGTTCCTAAATCTAAAGAACCAGAATGTTCTTCAAAGTAAAGCACTTTGAGAGATGATGGAAAGTGCTTTGTTCATGCAGTGTAGATTCATCCCAGGCCATCCTGCCTGATCACGCTGAAGGCATAAACTCAACTGCTGCTTCTCAAAATCTTGAGACTGGTGTGTTCTACTCAACCCACCTCCCTCTTTGCCAGCCAGGGACTGGCGACAGGATACATCCTAATGACCAGTGGCAAGCTAAATTCTTCCTGTGGTAAATGACAGCACTCTATGTCAGACTGCTTTAAAAGACAAAGGGCAGTGTGAGGTGGAACTTAGTATGAGCCCTGGAACAGCAGACATGGCTGGCTGTTCCCATCTTTGCTGCCTCGTCTGAGAAGTTGGTTGCCACAAACTTCTACCAGTCTAGGAACCCGCATACAATCAACTGACATGAGCTGGGCACTTTGTTTCTTAGCATGTCAGCTCCTCTCACTGCTGGACAACCGGAGAGCTTTTCCTTCATGTGGCCTCCCTGCCCTTTCCACCTCTCCATCCAAACTCAACCCTAGAAGCAAAACATCCTCCAGATGGCAACCATTGTTATATACGAAGACACGTTCCACTCCCCACAGGTCACCTCTAGGTCAGCAGTGACTGTATGGAAACATAGAATTTCAGGTGAGTCTTAACCCAGGGAAGACTAAACCTGGATGATTAGAATCATCTGGGAGCTTTTCTCATCTCCAGTGACACAAAATCTTTGGGGATGGATCTCAGGAAATCTTTGTAAAATACCCCCAGTGATTCTAACCACCCAGATTTGGGAATGACCCACCCAATACCTACAGTGGGACCATTTCCTTTTATCTTAAATGGGAGTTTTGCTTTTTTAAAAACAGGAGGTATGAAATTTTAAGTCTGATTTACATTAAATTACAGGGCAAATCATTGACAATAGATGAGGAAATCTAAGAAAGTAATCAGTTATTAAGGCCAATTATAGTAAGTGGCATATGATGCAGAATAGTATGAGCTTGTACAGTCAGGAATCAGGGGTCCACAGTGGCTGCTGGAGTAGGAATTCCTGGGTAAGTTAGAGCCTTTCCTTAGAGAAACTAGGGGAGAAGACTCAGTATTTTGAAGCAGGTTTATAAATTCTATTAGCAAACAGTATCATGATGTTCTTAAATTCCTATTACTTTTAGTTTTCCCAATCTCTTTGACAATTTTTGATTTCCAGATTTTCTCTCTTTGGGCCCAGCAATCTGACCACATCTCTGTGAATGTCAATACCTTTCTAGCCTGCAGTTCCCCACCTGTTTTGTATAGTTGTGGATGTGTTTTTTAAGTATACAGCTTTTCTTAGCCACCTGTTTCCTTTGATTCCCCTTCATATGACAAATTCCTCAAGGGCAGACTATGCCTTCAGCTTTCTTAATAATGCCTACACTGAGCATACAAATAATGGTTGTTCTTAGAAGTCTTTTGATATTCTCAACTTCTTTCAAAAAGTTGAAAAGGGGAACACTTCTTAACTTATTCTATAAGGCCCACATTATCCTGATACCAAAGCCAGACAAAGACAACTGCAAGAAAACTACAGACAAATATCCCTTATATTATACTCCATGATGAAAGACTGAAAGCTTTTCCTCTAAGATCAGGAACAAGGCAAGCATGTCTGCTTTCACCATTTATTCAGTGTAGTATTAGAAGTTCTAGCCAGAGCAATGAGGCAAGATAAATAAATTAAAGGTATTCAAATTTGGAAAAGATGAAGCAAAATTATGTTTTCAGATGCCATGATCTTGTATGTGGAAAACCCTAAAGATTCCACCCAACAATGTTAGAATAAATTCAGCAAAGATGCAGGGTACAAAATCAATACACAAAAACCAACTGCATCTCTACACAACTGACAATGAACAATCCAAAGAAAATTAAGAAAACAATCCCATTTACAAAAGTATAAGAAATAGTAAGATCTTAGAAACAACCAAGAAGGTGAAAGATATCTACACTGAAAACTATAAAAGAAATTAAAGATGACACAAATAAATGGGAAGACATCCATGTTCATAGACTGGAAGACTTGATAGTTAGAATGTCAATTATCACCCAAAGCAATCTACAGATTTGATGCAATTCCTATTAAAATCCCAACAGTAATTTCTGCATAAATTCAAAAAGTCCATCCTAAAATTCACATAGAATCTCAAGGGACACTGAATAGCCAAAACAATCTTGAAAAATAGCAACGTTGAAAGACTCAGACTTCCTTATTTCAAAACAGTATTATAAAGTGTGTTACTGGCATAAGCATAGACATATTAACCAATGGAACAGACGAGAGCCCAGAAATAAACCCTTGTGTATGTGGTCGATTTTTGACAAGGGTCCCAAGATCATTCAATGGGGAAAGAACAGTCTTTTTTACAAGTGGTACTAGGAACACTGGATATCTGCATGCACAACAATGAGGCTGAAGCCTTATCTATGCCTTATACAAAAACTAACTCAGCATAGATCAAAGACTCAATGTAAGAGCTAGAACTACAAAACTTTTAGAAGAAAATACAGAGAAAAAAACTTCATGATCCTGGATTCAGTGATGATTACTTAGATATGACACCAAAGGCATAGGGAACGAAAGGAAAAATAAACAGAACTGCACCAAAATTAAAAGCTTTTGTTCATCAAAGGGTATGATCTATAAGAGGGTGAAGACAACTTACAGAATGGGAGAATATGAAATTCACATATCTGAAAAGCCATTAATATCTAGAACTCATAAAGAACCTCTACAAATAAACAATTTGATTTTTAAAAGTAAGCAACCCAATTCTAAAAAATGGACAAAGAACTTAAGTCATTTCTCCAAAGAAAATATTCAATGGCCAGTAACACATGAAATAATGTTCAACATCACTTCATCAGGATGCCCACCATCACCACCATCACCGAAAAAAAAAAAACAACCCAGAAAATAAGTGTTGACAAGGATACAGACACTGGAATCCTGATGCTTTGCCAGTGGGAATGTGAAATAGTGTAGCCTTTGTGGAAAACACTTTGGCAGTTTCTCAAAAAGTTAAATATGTAATTACCATATGATCCAGCAATTCTCAGTACGTAACTCAAAGAACCGGAATCAGAAACTCAAGACTTGTACGCTCATCTTCTGAGTGGCATTACTCACAGAAGCCAAATAGTGGGAACAACCCAAACATCCATCAAGAGATGAATGGATAAACAAAATGTGGTATATACAAACAATGGAATATTACTGTCTTAACAAGGAAGATTTGATGCATGCTGCAGCATGGATGAATCCTGAAAAACACACTAAGCAACATGAACCAGACAAAAGGACAAATATTTGTGTGATTCCACTTACATGAGGTGCCTGGAGCAGCCAGATTCATAGAGCTAGAAAGTAGAAAAGGAGTTAGCAGAGGCTGGGGAAAAGGGGAGTTAAGGTGTTTCACGGGTACAGAGCTCCTGTTTGGAAAGACGAAACATTCTGGAAATGGTTAGTGGTGATGGTTGCACATTGTGAATGTATTTAGTGTCAGTTGTACACTTAAAAATGGTTAATTAAAATGGTAAGTTTTATGTGTATTTTCCGCAACAAAAAATATTTTGATGACAGCCATGGTTAAGAGCTTGGCAAGGAAGTCATACCTATCTGAAGCCTGGATCTGCGACTTTCCAGCTGAGTGACTTTGGGAAAATTACTTGGCCTTTGGAGAGCCTTAGTTTCCTCTTTTGTAAAATGAGGATTATCACTACCTCAGAGGTTGTCATTGGATTAATATTTTAAAAAAAAAATTAAGCACTGAGTATAGGGCCTATCACACTACCAACCCAGAGGTGACCCAGTTTTTCCTTTGGCAGCTCTGGAGGTGAAAGGGTAGGAGGGCATCACAGGGGCACATGGATGAAGAGGTGGAAGAGCTTTACCGTAACATGTACGAGTACCAGGTAAAAAAGGAGGACTTGAAAAAAGGGACAGGCAGTTTCAGCATTTCAAAAGTTCATGAAAACTTGCTTGAATATAGAGAATTTCATTTCCTCAAAGTTCAGTATGAAGTGAGATACGGATATTTAGAAAAGAGAATGCAACCTTAGGTTCCCACTGTCCGGTTCACCTGCTACCGTGTTTATTCTAAGTACATGCTTTCAGAGCTATGAATAAGCAAGAGTGATTCCAGGACATGGTTCCCAAAGAGGATGAAGGGTGGATTACATAAAATGGCAAGATAAATCACTATTTCAGTTACTCAACAATGCCACAGGCTTCAAGTACTCAAGTGCAGGCTAACTAATCACGTTACAGGTCTTACAGGACCAATTACTGTACCAGAAGGAAAGATGAGTGCTAGAAATAGTGACTTAGCAGGTATTTTGCCCTCTAAGACTCTATGACTCTACATTTAAATTTTTTAATTTGGAAGTTTGGAAAGACCACATCACTACATAAAGACAGCTGCACACTGCATGCTGACTGAATGCAGCAGGTACATGTGGGAAGCTGTTCTGGGAATATAAAGCTGCTCTGTTCTTCATATACAAAAGTAGTTAGCTTTCGAGCAAAAGCAGTATGAGAATTTCCAAAGTGTATACTTCTAATTTGTAAGTACATTTTGAGGCAACAGGGAAAAAACACACTTAAAAGCCCACAAGCACAAATAAACCAACTTTAATAGATATTATTTTGTATTCATATAGCGCCTTCTTCAAGAACTTTAGATGCTTTACACATGTTATATCTAATTAATCCCCACAACAACCCTGTGAGGTAGGTATTACTCCCATTTTACAAGATAGGGAGACTGAAGCACAGAGAGGTTAGGTGACTTGCCCAAGGTCACACAGTTAAATTCACTGAAGAGCCAGAACCTGAGCGCCTTAGCCTCCCAGCTCCCAGTTGAATACCTCATGAGAGAATCTTGAATGAAGAGTATCTTTAAAGAAAGTGTCAAGAGTAGTATGTTATGAAAGTGAGGTCTTTCTACTGCCATCAAGGAAAGAAAAAAACCCTATACTGATGGTTAGAGCAACAAGACCCATATATTACACATTTCCTTTTTTTTCCTTTCCCTAAAGTCTCATGGCTCCTGTCTCAAGCAATCTTCTAAAGGAATTTTCTAAGACAGAAGCCATGGGACTTGGAAGTGAAACTTAATTTAGAATATTTACTTTCAGTTACGATAATTTATAGAAATTTTTATTCCAATATACAAAATATGGGACAGCCATCCCAACAAACATATACATAGACAGCAATCGGCCACCATTTACAACTGAAACCCCCCCTCATTTCAATCACAGTCAACCTGTAACAGACAACCTTATGGTGCTTTCTGTACCGGTCACCTTTGTCACTCTCTCTGCACTTTTTCCCCAACACTAACCCTATGTGTTTTTAAAGTATAGTGAGTTTCTGATAAGCTTTAAAACATTTTATGTAGATGCAGCTGCACTAAGAGTAAAAAATAATCTGAGAACCATCACCACAGTCCCTCCCCTGAAGAATCCTACCATTAAATCTGGTGCAGATGTGAACAGTGTGTGACTAGCATGGACCTTAACAGAAATGCTGTGAGTTGCTTCAATATGAAATTGAACCTTGGCTTTTACTGTATGTGTTTTTAAAATGAAAATGTAAAAACAAACACAATATAGTATTCCAATGCTGTACTTTTATGCAAATGACTTCATCTAGCTCTCTTACACATGCTGTGGCCTAACTCAAGCAAAAACTGATTCAGCTTCATTTTATTCCTCTTCTCTATACTGAACGCTGCAGAAACACAGCTTTAAATTCCAAGACAATTTGGTTTCAGCCCTCAAAAAAAATTTATCCACTTCCACTGCTATGGCCTTGCTACATTCTTGGTTGTGATTCTCTGTGCAATGCTGGTAGATCAGGCAGGCTACACAATTTATAGGAAACCCTTCTGGCCAGAATAAGGCATTAGAAATTATATCTTAAAGAGCAATTTGTCAAAATAGGTCATAATTTTCTCCAGCACATCTGTTTAAAGAGCCCGATCAGCTAAGTGACCCTGTTAAAGATCTGTTCACAGAATGAATAGGTGAAGTCATTTCCTGAGCTAAAAGATACAGATAATAAACGTTAATAATAGCAGCAGATAAAAACATTTTTGTTGTTTTTCATATTCAACAGTATTAGTAAGTTTAGAAAATTACAGCAATTTAAAAAAAAAAAATCTCTTCCTGAAAAGACTTTCATAAAGAACGTCCAAGGCCTGATTGCTATTATTTTGAATATACAGTCAATTATTTTCTGCAAGTTACATTCAGCCACTGTCAGACAACTTACTGATGCATGGAAAAGCTGCAGCTGCGATGGTTTACAGACCTTTTTACATTAGATATATTACTTCTGAAAACTCCCAACAGAATGAAGTCTGACCAAACACAAGGTTTAATTTCTGAACACACTTCCAGTAAGATTTGTAAAGGTGAGGAGAAAATACAAGGACCTGCTTCGTGCATTCCTGGTCTACTTCATTAAAATGTAATCTTCAAAGGGTTTTCTTTTTACAGCTAGCTACGCACTCTGCTGGGGTTATGATGGATTACTTCTTTCCAGGGAAAAGAATGACGTTTGAAAGCAACGAACTGTTATGACATGAATTTTCCAAATGCGGCCTCAACTGAATCATTAGAGTATTTCAGAATTCCACAAACTGGTGTACCACCATGACTGCACCCAACCCTTTCACCATTTCAACAACTATCGGGACTCTTTCTATAGTTTTTTACTTTACTGAAATTAAAGCTGAATAAAATAACTGACTTATAAACTATAACAAAAGGACAACTATTTAGCCAGAGATATCAGTTCCTCCTGAAAAAGAATATTTACCTCCTTTCATTGCAGTTTTTCTTAAAATATCTTACAATTTAAAATAGAGTTAAAAATTCACCTTAAAAATGGAAACGAACAAAAGGACTAGTTCAAATGACAAAAACTAATAAAAATATGCTCAAATTTACTGACAGAATAATGAATGGGCACTTCATACAATACTTAGACTCCACCAGTTTTAAGTAAAATAAATAAGGAAAAAAATTATAATTACAAAGCCAGTCATTCCCCTTGGGAAAACAAAAAGCCACTTTTGACCAGTTGTTCCCTACATATACATATACTGTATATTATTATAAGCTTCTTCAGAGAAGCAAAACATATTTGTCTTCCTGACACTGGATACTAGTTATCTGTTAGGGTTTTTTTACATCAGGAAGGCAACTGCAAGTGTTGGGCCCAAATGTATTTCTGGTTTATGCTTCAAAAGACCACCAAATACTCTTTCTATACATATTCAACACAGGCAAACATACGCAGTGTGTTCGACATTATCTCCTTAAATTATCAGTACAACCTAGCACAAATCCCTATTCTTTCTACTGCACCCCAAGGAGTTCCAATCATGATTGGTGCAATTAATAAAGAGAAAATGCATGTCAATTACTGGAAGGCTGTTTTACAAGAGGAGCTGGTATCTCTGGTATCACTTCCATGTTGTATGGAACTGCAAAGGCAGCATGATACCTGAGCAAATCAATCAACTACCATGACAGGAAGAGCTTGTGAATCCAAAGTCTTTGCTTGATTGTGTGCAAAGTGTGCTACTGCCCCCTGAGCTTCCTGCATTTCTCTTTTCTTGAAAAATCAGTGCTTGATCCTTTCCAAAATAACCAGAGAAGAAATGAGGCAGAAAGTATCTCTTCATCACGGTTCCCTTCAGTCCCGAGACTGATAGAAAAGGATGTAACCAGACTCAGAGTTCTTTGAGATATCTGACGTCAACCCGTAGAATTCTTCAATAGCTTGTGCATCTATTTTCTGTGAAGTAAAACATAAACATTAGTACATACGTGAATTCTTTGAACTGCTTAAATCCTGTCAAATCTTCAACATTGCTTAGAACTGTGCCTTTCATTTTCTCATTTAAAATAGCTCTGCATGAAATATTGGTAAGACTATGAAGCAAACAGGACTCCTACCCAGCTGGTGGGAACATAAAATGATACAGACACCTGGGGGAAAATGTTAAGCATTACCTTCTAAAGCTGAACATATGACTATCCTTTGATCCACCAATTTTTTTCATAGGCTCAGGCTGAACTACGTGAAACCACGGGCAACCATTTGGGACCTACGAAAATGGCAATTCCATATGGTCCAACCTAATACATTCCCAAGAAAAAAAGGGGGCATGCATACTTCCAGCAAAACACTTGTACAAAGATAATCAAGACAGTTTTATTTCTCACAGTCAATAATGGACAAAAACTTAAATCTCTACTTGGTATATGCCTATAACGGAAAATCACATAATGAAAAGAACTGCCAATTACAGGCCACAAAAATGAACTGCACAAATATAATAGGCGAAGAGAGTCGCCCCAACGGAAATCACACTGGATGAGCCCAGCTACACCCCACACGCAGGCAGGACCCACCAGTCACAGCGGCATGTTCCAGGGAAGGGTGGGCAGAGGGAGGAAAGCTGTGGGCACTGACCAGGCCAGGGGCTAAGGGAGCTTGCTGGATGTGGGAAATCTTACCCCGGATGGCGGTTACACATGTGTGTGCACGACATACATACATGTGCATTCACATGTAAAATTTGCAGTTGTTGCTTAAGATTTGAGTACTTTACTGTATTCATGTTATAGCACAATAATTTTTGTAATAATAAAGGATTTTTAAAGAACTAGCTCTGCTGTTACAAGTTTTTCCTTTATTCTAAACACTTTAAAGGTTAGCTGACCAATCAAGCATTGGGATTCAATATTAGGAAGTGAGAAGCAGGAAATGAACTATAATTTGAAGGCCCAGACATTTGTCTGATAGTTACCACCTATCATCTATGAATGAGAAACTGGCAGAAAAAAATAAAGAGCGAAACACATACAACTTAGAAGAAACATAAGAAATTAGGGAACTACTTACTTCTACAATGTCGTCATCAAACAACAACCAAAAATCATGACTCTTAACTATTGCAATATAATGGCCTCGATTGGGACCACTAAAACAAACAAAAAGAAAAGTTAATTTCATACAGTGTCTATTAAAATTACTCCCCTATGCCCTGAAGTTCATGTTCTAAAGAAAACTGAAACAGATTCAAATACTCCTTATGTATGCTTTCCCAAAAAGATCAGGTTAAATTGATTTGAACTGGCATTAGATTTTAAAATCAAGTACTTAGTATTCTACTTTGTGAGATATAACCAGTACTCTATTTATCTAAAGCTATACTATTAAAATTCTTTATTGTCTTTGAAATCATTTTTGTTATTGTTTTCTGAAATAATTTTCAATTTGCTTATATCAAAGATTTAAATAAAGTTTTCTACTATTTTTGGAGGGAGGAGCCAGCACATGCTGAATTAAACTATAAAACACATGTAGTATTTCTTATTCCCTTGGCAATGGTTTTTTTTTCTTGAGGAAATAACCCATGTGCTGCTTAAAAAAGCAAAGATACCAAATCCATGGTTCTGAAATGAAGTTTAAGCTTTATAAACTTCTTCAGAAGCAAATTACATTTTGTTAATAACATCTTTAAGTACCCAGTTCTTAGCACCACTAATTATTATAACTGCTTTTATACCACAATTTAAGCAAATCTGGCAAGCAGAAATCTAGACATATGTAAAAATATAGGTGGTTTTTGCTTTAAAAACAGTATTTGCTTTATAATGGGCACAGCAAAGATTTTCACCTCTCTCACCTTAAGTATGATTCATTATAAAAGCGTATATATAATTTATTGTTAAATTATAATTTTACTATGATATTTTAGAATTTGAAATAATTTTCAACACAAATTGTTCTTTACAGTAAATACACTTTTAAAGTAGCAACCTCAGATAATAGAATAAACTTCCTTTTATGTCTCCTAGGTCTCAGATCCTTTGATCCTGTAGGTGAGATGAATATCTTAAGTGACAAAATGACACAAACAAGAGTACTTTTTCACTACAGAGGAAAATACCTTAAAGCTTTTTTTATAAAAGCTATTAATGCTAAAATAGGTATTTTCTCCATTTCTATAGGATCCATTTAAGAATCTTGTGTTTATAGAGGGGAAAAAATTTTTTAAAGCAGAAATTAAGGGGGTGAAAATAAAGAAAAATTACAGCAAGGCTGAGGAACAGAGCCCGAGAGGGAAGGAGGGGGTGGGCTTGAAAAGGGAGGCACAATACAGCCAAGGTTAGGCAGCTCTTTCCTTTTGCACAGAGCCAGTTTGAAGAATGGTAGACAAAATGCTAATTACGGAAATAATAATTAGATGAAGGGCTAAGGCTCATAAACTTATACCTAGGAGCTGTTTATTACGGATTTGCATTCTGAACACAAGCATGCTCAGTTCCATTCACTCGGATGTGTGCTGTGTGCACATAACTGTGCTGGTTATTGCAGGGATTAGAATGACACCAACTTGAAGACACTGTCAGTACAGTAGCTAACTACTCCAACATCACACTAGAGGGGAAAATAGGATGTAAAAGCAGAGCTACAGGGGTAGCAAAATGGAGCGACTTCATCTACTTTGACAGATGACAGAAGGGCTAAGGAATCAAGAAAGGTCTGTACACAGTAGAGTTGGGGTCAAGATAGGCTTAACATGCAATATTTAATAATTTAGCAAACAATTGTTGAAAATCTACTAAATGCCAGACACTAGGGATCAAGAACAGCAAGCTGGACTGGCAAAGACACGCTGAAAAATGAGATTGCGTGACCATTGAAAGATGCAGACAAACGTACAGCCATTATATCCTCGCAGGAGACCGAACTACAAATACATCTGATAAATGAAATAAAAAATTTAAAGAGGTTTAAAAATATTATTACTCTTTTATTAATGGTTATGTCCTATTTCAAGAAGTGCCCATAAGGGAAACAGACATACACAGATAAACACGACATAATACAGAGCGGTAATTACGGACAGCAACAGGCATAGCAGTTCTGTGAACACAGAGGCCCACCACCCAATGGAGACTGGGTGGAAGAGCGCCAAGGAGGACCCGAAGAAAGGTCTCGAAGGCACGGGATAGGGAGGGAAGAAGGCGTGAAGCAGTTATGGGGACAGAAGAGGAAGAACAAGGAGCAGGTGGGTCCCTCGTTTTGCTCAGGAATCTCAGAGTTCAAGATCTTACAAATAGAGCAATTCCAAAAGATCTAGCATAATTTAAATAGAGTACAACTGACAATGAATTTGAAGAGAATAAAGAAGGGTCTAGTAAGGGTGTGAAAAGGTAACATAACATTATTATTGTTACTAAAACAGTGACAGCAGCTAAGTGACTTTCATTTCCCTCCATTAATCCTAACAATGCAGTGAGGCAGTTAATATTATTTGCATTTTATAGAAGAGAAACTGACATGCAAGGAGTTCTGTAGGAAGTCACACCAGCCATAAATGGCAGAACTAGAACTGACTGCCAGCTTCCTGTGACCCTAAACCCTCTGGTCTGAGTCACTACACCACGGTTCTTAAAGTTACCTGGCACTATTCTCCTCCTTCAGATGCCATCACTCTTACTTTAGAATGCTCCAAAAATGGAAGAAAGATTATTGCTGAGGAAAAGAGAGAGAGCTAGGTTGACAGGGACGGTAGCGGTCGGAGACTGTCCCAGAAGCAGCTCCCTCCCTCCTGCTGTCCTGACACATGTGAGCAGAAAGCTGAGGGGGAAAGCTCAAGATGAAAGGCTGGGATATTTTTATTTTTATTTTTTAGTTGGATAAAACATGTCATTAGTACAAGTTTCCCCCAAAGCAGGGGGAAACAGGTAAGTGCTCTGTTTTTAAATTAGTACAAGAAATTCTAAACAGTCAGTGAAGACTGTATGGTCCAAATACAAATTTTGATCATATGATGCTCTGGTAGTTTGAAAACTGTTTGAGCTATTTTATGAATTCAGAGATACCATGCTACATCAGCTAGCAGGAAATCAACCCGTTGACTGGTAAAATCAAGAAACTTTGCTTTGAAGATTATTTTCAAAGCCACTTTAAATGTTTTTCACAACTGTTAACATGATGAACATATATGCAACTGATCTCAGAAAATCTATTTTGCAAGATCTATTTAGGCAGCAGCACTTTTATCAACAACCACAAAAGAAAAAGTAAGAGGCTCTAAAGTTCTCATATAGAATAATATATAAAAACCAAATCAAGGCAATATTTTAGTATATAAAAGTTGTAAGGAGGAAATAATAAAATGTATCTGAAATACCCATTTTGGACTAAACTTCTCTTGATACTAAAGCACTGCAGGATCAGAACCTCCTGGGACGGGGGTGCTTGGGCCCCCGCAAGCTTTTGGAGCACGCCCTGCGCCCCTGACCTGGAACCTCACCAGGGTCCCCCACCACCATTACCTTCCACAGTGAACCACCACGGCCACGAGGTCGTACATTCTGTCAGGATTGGTCGCGTCGCCTGAAGTGTTAAAGAGACGGAGTTCTAAAGGAAAAACTACCCGGTAAGAAAGTTTTGTGTATCGATGAAGTTGATCCATATATTTGAATCTTTTCAGGTGTAGAGCTAGAATCATAGGCAGTTTTTTAACTTTCATCCTATTAAAATAAACATGAAAATGAAATTTCATGAAAGACATTCACCATGTCCTTAAAAGAAATATCAAACTTTATGAATCGATTAGTTAATGGTCAGTTTTAATAGATTCAGCAATGTCCACTTTTACTATTTCTACTAATTATTTCTATATTGGCAAAGGAATGCTCCAAACGTCTTAAGACTACCTCACCCTACCCATTATCACCAAATCGTGTCATTTGACCCAGAACTTGATGTGGGCCCAAAACAGATGGAATGGCATCAGACCCCTGTAAAAAAAATCTTTATTTCCAAAATATAGGTCCTTATAAGGCTAAATGCACGATACCTATGACTAATGGAGGAAAACCCAGTTCTTTAAAGCTGCCAATTCCTTTGGATGTGAGTGGAGTCTGAAGTCCATTTGTTTTATCATTCTACAAAATTCAGTAACAGATTGAGAATAGGAGACACTCAGGAAAACATTACAGACCATTTCTCTAAAAGTGTTTGCCAGGGATAAGAAATACCTCCATATTAGGAATTATGACTCCATGTATTCTAGAAAGGGAATAAAATAATCTGGAAATTTCAAAGTTAAGTTTTTGATTGAGAAACATCAGCTATCCTTCCCCATCTCAATAATCTAATGCCCTTAAATGCTATTTCTCCCTGAGATTACCTCTGCGCCTATGCTTCATACAACAACAGTCTACTCTTTTAAAGGCTCAGCTCAAATGTGATACCCTCTGGCACAAATTACTGCTCTCTTCAATATCCCATCAGCACTTTATAGATTTACTCTATATAGGTACAGTTTATTACACTGTAAAATATTTACATGATTTTGGGTATTTGTCTTTTTCTAGGGTCTGAACTCTTGGCAAGTAGAAATCATTTCTTTCATTTTATTTCTCCACTATCTAGCAAGATGCCTTGCAAATGATCTTGACAAATGTTGCAGAACTGAATCCTTTCTGGATGTGTTTGATGAAGCAAAATACTTTTCTTGATTAAAAACTGAAATTTACTATAAGCCATTGCCTCTAATGAAGTGGAAAAAAATCATATTACAGCATTATACTATATCTGCATTCCACAGATCCTAAATGTATCAGGCAGCTGATTAGTCCAGCAATATTTACTACTCTAACATGGCCTTTAAAAAACATTACTGAAAATAAATGTAAACACTTAATCATTCCTGGAAAGCCATCTAGCAATATGAATTAAGAACCTTTATGGCCTTTGCCTCAGTAATCCCACTTCTAAAAATTAAATTAAATATAACCTTAACTATAAGGCTTCTGAGAAAAAGTCACTCCTGTATTTATTTTATATCATGAAAAATTGAGAAAATCCTAACTATCCAAGAAAAGGAAATGTTGAGATAAATTACAATACAAATGTTAACAATGCTATATGACTTCAAACAACGTTAATGATGAAAGTTTCTAAATGGCAAGGGAAAATGCTTTTTTAAAGTAAAAAGATTTAAAATTTTAATATAATAATCCAACTATTAAATATTGGATATTCAATTAAACCTCATATAGAGTTGCTAAAGCAAACTCTTCTAAAACAACAAAGCATCCTTTGAAAATTTTCCAGTGCAGTGCAGATACAGAGAATTTTCTCAGCATTAAACAAATATTAGTGTAATAGATGGTGTCAGTTAAGATCAGAATAAGAAAAAGACAGACGGCCTGGTGATTAGGAAAAATGTGCTTTTAGAAATTAAGCAAGAGCAGAAGGGAAAAAAGTCCAAATGGACAAAAAGGAAATACTAATTGCTCTTTATAAAATTTTTAGTTGACACGACAGATATGAATCCTACTAGCAGGGTTTCCCCACAGAGGAGGAACTGTCAGCTCCCACAAAGAAGCCAAACACTTGTGGGGATGAATACGGTAAAGTCAAGCAAAAACATCTATGGAGTCATATTTCAAAGACGTGAGAGACTATTATAATTTCTTCCTCATATTGAAATGATTTCGGCAGAAAAGAAGAAAACTGCCCGGACACACATGTGGCAAGTGTGAAATTCATCTTGTACATTTTGTAGCTGAAGAAAAACAAGGTGATTTCCTGCTCTAAACACCAACTCCACCAATACATTAAAGAATTTATAGGATTCTGATTTTCATTCCATTCAAACTTGTATGGAGAGAGGTTACATTAGGGTGCTTTCATCCCTTCATTTGTTTAAAGAAAAAAAGTTGTCTTAGCGTGCAATGTTTTCTACAACAGACAAAATATCTTGACAAAAAAGTGGGATAATAGAGAATAGTTTTTTCCTTTTAAGTTATAGTTAGCTTCAATTAAAGATTGATTTTTAATCTTCTGTAAACTGACTTATAAATCAATTTCTATTAAAAAATTTAACGGCATTCATTCACTATACAATAATTAAAATTTGAATGAATCTGTTATACATTTTCTTGCTTTACATCTTTAAAACAATAAGTTGTGTTCATTCTGCCCTCTAATGTAAGAAGTGTTTACCTTCTTGATAGTATCTTATTATAATTTAAAACTATGAAAAAGGCAGAAGGATGGAAAAAGACAATCACTAAGAAAGTCAGCTAACTTTGGATGATACTAACATCAGACAATAAATATTAGAGATAAAGAGGAATATTCCATAAATAAAGAAGACAATTCATCAAAAAGATAAAATCTTCAAATGTGTATGCTCCAAATAGTAAAGCTTCAATATTTGCCAGAATTAAAGAAATAAACAGATGACTGCACCTGAAGCCCTTAACAGACTTCTCTAAGAAAAAATTGCTAAGATCAGTGAAGGTATGAACCACCACACTATGGATCTGACTAACATTTATGGCACTGCATCTCAAGACTGCAGAATATACATTCCTCTCAAGTATGACTGGGCCATTAACCAATGTACTGAACAATGCAAGAAGTTTCAAAAAATTCCAAAAGATTAAAATCACAGAATATGTCTTCTGAAAAAAATACAAAACAAAAAATATCTTGAAAACCCCTGAAATATGGAAACTGACCAACATACTTCCAAATAATCCATGGGACAAAGAGAAAGACCACAAGGGAAATAAAAGTAGATTTTGAAGTAGATGATAATGCAAATACAACATATCAAAATGTGGGAACACAGCCAACGCAGCATTTAGAGGGAAATTTATAGCTTTAAAATATTTATATTAGAAAAAGAAGAATTTAAAAGCACTAATTTAAGTTTCCAACTTGAGAAGCTAGAAATAAAGAGCTAATGAAACCCAAAGCAAGCAGAAAGAAAGAACATAAATCAATTAAAAAGAAAACAAAAGCAACAAGGGTTCACAGCACCTAAAGCTATAAATCTAGCAAGGCTAATCAAAGAGAAAGAGAGGAAACACAAATAGGCAATATCAGAAATCAAAGACAGACTATTACTGTAGATCCCACAGATATAAAAAGGATAACAAAGCACCATGATACTACTCAGCAATAAAAAGTAAGTTATCATTGATACATGCAACTACCTGAAAAGATCTCAGGTCACAAACTGCATGATTCCATTTACGTAACATTCTCAAAATGACAAAATTATAGAGATGGAGCAACTAGTGTAGCAAAGGGGATATCAAGCACAAGAGAGATGGGACAGTTCTGTGTCATACCTCCGGTGGTGGTTACGTGTACCTACATGTGATACAATTGCACAGAAGTATACACACACATACATACATGTACATGAGGTGAAATCTGAGTAAGGTCTATGGATTATACCAATGTCAATTTCCTGGCTTTGATATTGTACTATAGTTATGTAAGATGCTATCCTCAAAAGATGCTGAGAGAAGGTGGTACACAGGACCACTCTTCAGCTATCCTTGTATTGTCTTTTACAACTTCCTGTGCATCACACCGTTTCAAAATAGGTTAAAAACAAAAGATAATAAGGAAATATTATGAATAACACTGTATTAGCTAACTTAGATGAAATGGACAAATGCCTTAAAAAAAAAACTCAGCTTACCAAAACTCAAGCAAGAAACAATGGAAAAATCTCAACTGCCCTCTATTTATGTAATCAAAGCCTCCCTTTTAAAGGAAACAACAGGACCAAGTCACAAAACTGGTGAATTCTATAAAATGTTTAAGAAAGAAATAATACCTATTTTTACAAACTCATTAAAGGAGAAAACGATCCCCAACTCATTTGTTAGGGCAGCATAAAACCAATACTGACACCTGATAAAGGGATTACAAGGATATAAAATTATAGACCAATATCCCTCATATTTCAGATGTTAAAATCATCAATAAAACATTAGCAAACTTAATCCAGCAATAAATAAACCCCACTTGGAGACAATGTAATAGTTACACTAAATGATTTTTTCCTAAGGTTCTTTCTAAATGTTAATTAACTATAAAAATAAAAGATTCTTTATTATTCCTAAATTAACAAAGGAATTGTCAAAAATGCAAGGGAATTGTCAAAAATTAACATAGCATATTTCTCCTCCTAAAGAAAAGTATTCTTATCCCAACCTAAATCCTCCAGAAAGTTTATATCTCTGCAGAAAACGTGTGATCAACAATGCTGGTCAAAATTACCATGTCCTCTTCCAACCTAAACATTTTGCCATAAAACCAGGAACCAGTAGACTAGAATATTTTTCTCAGCAAAAACGCACTGCCCACATTATAGTCCAGTTACAAACTCAGTGACTGCAGAAGCCATGGGTGGTGGGACTATGGTGATAACGGAGTACATGCTGCCTGCCTAGTTTGGGTCCTATTCCCCAGAAACAGACGGAGACAAGTTATCTGCCCAAGATTTATCAAGGAAGTGCTCCCTGGGCAGAGCAAGGGAAGCAGGAAGAAGAGGAAGCCAGGTAAGGGGGTCAATGGATGGGAAAATCCCAGATGGCAGCTTCAACCTAGACGGACAGGGATCCCCTAGACAATGAGTTTCCTTGCAGATTTCTGTAGTCCAAAGCAAGGTGGTTGGGCTTGCATTCTCTTCTCCACCTGTCAGTTATGGGTC